AAATGTGGTGGCACGATAGCCTGTGGAGGATGACCCCGTGGCCTGGGCAGATACTGGTGCAAAGGAGCTGAGCTGAAGCACTTGGGGAGCTCTCAGTTCTCCTTTTTTTTTTTTGGGCCAGTGAGAGTTCAGGGAGGGCTTTCCACTGCCTCACCTAGAAACTGGCCCCTCCTGAACCATCCAGCCTTCCCTCAATGTGTTCTTTCAGGGCTTAAAATAGCTGCTGTGTTTGTCACACTGGGGATTTCACAATAGCTGCGGGTGAGTCACGGGCAAAGGCCGAAGAGAAGAGCCGCCTGTGGCACCTGGGCAGGCACCCCTCAGATCCATGACCCCAGCAGGGCCTGTTTCCCTCTGTGCCTTCCAGGAGCAATCCCGCTCATCCATTTCCTGCTGTTCCAGGGGTTTGGCACAGCAGGGCCAGCAGCCAGCCAGCCCAGGGCTCTGCACGGAGCCTGGTTTCCTGCTTGGCTGCTCCACTGCTTCACTGAGTGACTTGTAGGTGACATTGGTGCAATTCACGTCCCAGCCCTGCTCCTGCACTCACCTCTTGACTTGCTCGGGGTGGCTGCTGGTGGCCACGAAGGGTTTTTGGGGTTTAAATGATTGAGTGGAACCCCCCTGGAGTTCAGCAGCACCGCCTGGGCGCCATGCTGGCAGCTGTCCGCTCCAAATTTCTTTTGGCGCTAATTAGCACCCCGAGGACAAATTATCTGTGGGGTTGGAATGTTCAGGAGTGGAGGAGCTAAAGGATGGGACTGGCACCCGGCAGTTTGTTGGGGTTTTGCAGCCCAGGAGGCTGCTGGGGTGTGGCTGTAGCCCGGTGTCAGGGCTGGGGGACGAGCAGATGGACAGAAAGGGGCAGAAGCTCCTTGGAATTGCAAAGCTTGCACCATGCCCAGGGTGGCTTGCTGGGCTCAGTTCAGCATTGCCCCTGCCAAGCACTGGGCATCTCCCTCTGCCTCGTGTGGTAGGGACGGGGCAGCTGGAATTTGGGCTCAGAGGGGCCGTGGGCACCTCAGGGAGGGCTGAACTGTCCAGCCTGTACCAGTGTTGGTCCTCCCAGAGCTGCTGTGTGGGGTAACCGTGTCTTCTCTGCACTGCAGGGGAGATGATTTTCCAAAGCCTGCTGCTCAGCCATGATCTCAGGTCTCTAAGGGTCACTTTGGTCCCTCCTGGGAAGTGCCCTCGGTTGCAGCAGTGACATTATGACAGGGTCATGCCCACCCCATCCCTGTGCCACCCTGCCCGTGCCAACCTGCTGGCTCCAAAGTCTTGTTGGTGATTTTGTCTTGGAGATGCTGCTCTCATTTCCTTGGGGTGCCCAAGGTGTGACCTCCCCGTGCCACCTGGGGGGACGTGGGACATGGAGAGTGCTCCCTTTGGAACTTGGGGACAGGGAAATGCAGAAGGGTGGGTGAACATCATTCAAGGGAAATACAAGTTGGATAGTTGGATAGCAGGAAAAAGTTTTTTTACAGAAAGGGTGATAAAGTTCTGGAATGGCTGCCCGGGGAGGTGGTGGAGTCACCATCCCTGGGTGTCGGAATCTGTGCTATTGATGATTCCAAAATTGCAAAAAGTCTCTCTTTCAGCCCCACTGCCAAAGAAGAAGTTGTAATTAATCTGTGCTGGTTTCCAGGTTGTTTATTCTGTTTATCTCTCACATGTTCTGCTGCCCTGCCCAGCTCTGTCCTGCAGGGCAGCGTGTGGGGCTCTGCCCTCAGTGGGATGTGACAAACATTAAATACCAGAAACTCCCTGGGCTGCATTTACAAGAACGTGCCAATATCTGTCACCTACGTTGGACAGTGTGTCCCCAGCCTGAACCAACAGAAAAATGCCAACACCACAGTGAGACATGGAGGGCATGAAGAAGGAGAAAAAGGACAAGACACACCCAATTTCCTCCAGCTTGTCCCCTTTGGACCCCTCATCTAGAATCCTAAAATTTTACTTTTGCACCCGTGCCACACTTAATTATATCAAACACTGAGAGCTGGTAATTGATCCTGTAAGATTGAAAACTCTTTTCCATGGCCAGAGATCACAGCCAGTGTCTCTGGGGGCTCTGTCCAGGGGGTTCCTGACCCCTGCCAGGGTCCCAGACCTGCCAGGGCAGCCAGAGGGAAGCTCTGGACTGATTTTGTTCTGATTTTTAAACACCTGGGTGTGTTTAAAATCAGACTGGGTGCCAGGGTTGAGGTGAGGTGTTGGGACTGGATTTATCTTGGAGATCTCTTCCAACCTGGTGATTCTGAGATTCTGTGAACACTCACTCAGGACAGCTCAGTGTGGGGGAGGAATGCAGAGGTAACTCTATCCTGGCCCCACAGGTGCTGTTATTGGACATGAAATAAGTACACAGAAGTTTGGGAAGTTCAAAAGAGAAAAGGACTCAGTTTTTTTCCAATATCTGGTATTTATAGAATTCCAAAGGTGACCATAGATTAAGGGATGGAATTACTACTTCTCCATTTATATAATTCCAAAGGTGACCATAGATTGGAGGATGGAATTACCACTTCTCCAACCACACTGGTCTAAAGATCAATCAATCATTTTTCTCTACCTACAGAGAAATAGATAAACTATTCTATTTATCCATGAGATTGTGTGGGAACTGTGACTCTCAAATATGTAAACATTATCAGAAGGCTAAAGAAGCTTTATGAGAACTTTAAAACTTTCAAAAGAGCTGTAAAAGAAAACTTAACACTTCTAAAAACCAAGGTAACACACAGGATGTAGGAGTGACAGTGAGCGAGGCCAGGCAGGGCTGTGGTCACTCCCCCACTGTGAAAAACGTTAATTACTTGGTTTTTAAAATGTTAAAAGTTTAATAATAATAAAATGGTTACAAAAATAGTAATACAATTAGAGTAATAAAATTTAGAGTTAGGACAATTACAAGACAATAAAAAATAAAGAATTATTGATGTGTGGATGTTCTCGGACACTAGGTCACAAAAAGTATACTTTGTGAACAAAGGAATAATTTTAAAAGTAATAACTTCTTGTATATTCATATATTTTTTGTGGTTATGAATACATTCTATTTAAAATTAGAACTCTGTTGTATGTTAACCGTTTCTTTTAATTTCTAAGGTGTCTTTGAATTTGAGTAAGGTTTGAAGAAATTAGCTTCTTCTGATAAGAAAACCATAAATTCCTTTTCTTTGGTAGATTCAGGTGTTCCTCGAAGCGAGTATCTCATTCCTAAAAAAAAACAACTCCCATCACTTACATAGTCTCTGTTTTAACATTATGTTGGAACCTAAAACTATATTCAACACGCTACTTAAGAGAATGAATACAGCACAACTTTCTAACATTGCACATATAATATCCATTGTTTTATTACCATAATATCATAATATTCATCATAATAGTCATTGTAATATTTGCAAAAAGCCAATCATAAAGTGCACATTTTTCACACCCACCACAATCCCCAGCCTGGTTTGCAAACCCCGAGCCCCAGCCCAGCTCTGTGCTCTGCTCCTGGCTTTTTCCAGGTGCTGCTGGGCCCCTGCCGGTGGGAAGCAAAGCTCCAGGGGAAGCCCCACCTCTTCTCTCAATATTTACTTCCCTGCTTGGAGCTCTCCCAGCTCTGGAAGTGCAGAGCAAACACAGTGGGGCACTTCTTGCTGCTGTTTGGAGGGGCTGAGCTGTTCCCCGAGCTCCTTCCCCTGCCCTGCTCTCTGTGGGAGCATCTGGGGGTGGCTTGGTGAGAGCCCAGCCCAGCTGAGCCGAAGGAACCCCCAAATTTCTCCCCAAACCAGCGGGAGCTGCTGGCCCGTGTCTGGGCAGCCAGCCCAGATGGAAATGGATTTGTCCCCTTGTGGTAAGGACACTGCTGTCCCTGCCAACTCCTGGAATGCAGCAACACTTCAAAACACGGCAGAGATCCCTCATTTTCCTCCCTCTGCCGAGTGATTTTCCCAATATTCCTTCCTCCCCTCCCCAGCCTGTCCCTTGGTACGTGGTTGTAGTGGCACCCAAGCTGTGGGGAGCTGTTCAGAGGGGCTTGTGGTGTTTACAGCAGGAATTAACCCTCCTGTAAGCTCCCCAGTGGGTTTTCCAAACACAGACATGTAAACTGGAGAATGGGAAGAAAGGTCACAAGCAGAGCTTGGCCGGCTCCTCCAGGGATTCCATCCACAATGGGAATTGTTTCCATGGGGGAGATGGAAGGAAAACCCGGGAGGAGCTGGGATTGTGTCAGTGGGGAGCAGTGGGTGAGCTGGAGGGAGCTCTGGGCCGTGATCTGCTGACTCAATGAGCTGCTGGGAATGTCTGGATGCTCCTGAGTCAGCTCCTGTCTGCCCCTCTCCCATGAGTGACAAATCCCCTGGTGCAGCTGGACTGGGAATTTACAAAGTCACAGAACCACTGAGCTTGGAAAAGGATTGCAGCATCACCAAGTCTAATCTGTGCCCCATCCCCACCCTGTCCCCAGCCCAGAGCACCCAGTGCCACCTCCAGCCCTTCCTGGGACACCCCAGGGATGGGATCCAAACCTCCCTGGGCAGTTCCAAGGCCTGAGCACCCTTTCCATGGGGAAATTCCTGCTGTGCCCACCCTGAGCCTGCCCTGGCCCAGCCTGAGCCTGTTCCTGGGAGCAGAGTGCCATCCCCACCTGGCTGCACTCTCAGCTAGATCTTGGTTGGATTATCTGTGTACTCAGGATTTCTAGTAATTCACCTGTAATATCATCAGAGAACTTTGAGGTTTCCTTCCTTCCTTTTTTGTCCCCCCCATGCTACAAACAACAAGCTGCATCTCCTTTGCTAAAGGTTTCCATCTCCCTGTGATGGGAAGTGGTTTGGCCTTTGGAGGGAGGAAGGAGGATCCAGCCACTCTGTGAAGCTGTGGGCAGCTTTAGGAAGCAGAAATGCTTCTGCAAGTTCCCCTCCTGGTGTGACGGCTGGGAATTGAAGCAGCAGGAATTTTGTGCTCCTCACTTTCTCTGGACTCACCCTGCCTTTTCCTTCCAGGCCAAGAACAAGGAAACGGGCGCTTTGGCAGCTGCCAAGGTCATCGAGACCAAGAGTGAGGACGAGCTGGAGGATTACATGGTGGAGATTGAGATCCTGGCCACCTGCGACCACCCCCACATCGTCAAGCTGCTGGGAGCCTTCTACTGGGATGGCAAACTCTGGGTAAGGGCTGGCCCAGGTGGGGCTGGGACATCCTCACCCTGCCCAGAGGAAGGGGCTGCTCATGGTGGAGCAAAACCTCTGGAGCTGCTTGAACATCAGAAACGAGTCATGAGCTCTCTTTGGGCTCAGGGGCTGGATTTTCCCTGCTGTCTTTATCACCAAACTCTCTTCTGATGAAAGCTGCTGGTAAAAACCCAAGGGATCTTCACAGGGAAGTTCAAATTGGGGTTTTTTTTCCACCATTAAGAGTTTGTAAAGGTATAAAAAGCATCACCAATAAGTTCCTGTCTCTTCTAAAGCCCCTCTTTTAAAACACCAGCTGGAAAATTATCTTAGAGGTCTCTTCCAACCTCATTATTCTGTGATTATTTTATGCCAACTGATTTTCTGGATCTGGGGGGTGATTTGGGGCTCAGCACTTGTAATGCAGAGGCACCTGATAGCAAGAGCTCCACTGTGGAGGTGCAGGGACATAAAGTGCAACGGAGTGGGTTGGTGCAGGGGCTGGACCAGCAGGTTCCTGCAGCTCTCTCCCCTAGCCCAGCAGGTTTATATGTGAATTTTTATTTCCCCTGCCTGCTGCTCTCTCTGAGTGCCTGGCAGCAGAGGAAGCTGAGCGTGAAAGGCACCTTCCTGTGCTGTGTGCAGGGGATGGAGAGGCTGAGGGAGTGAACCCTTGGATACCCAGCTCTGTGCCTGTGTGAGGATTGTGGAAATCAGGTGGACAGGAGGATTTTCCAACCCATCTCGGGCAGTTCATCTGTTCTCCTCGAACTGCAGGAAGTCAGGAGAGTGGCAGAGCGTGCATTCAGCAGCTCTGGTGCTTCTTCCTTCCTGTTTTTAATGTTTCAGATGCCTTTGTGGGCTCCCTGAGTAAATTTAATAGAGTTAAAGAAGAGATCTCAGCTTTTGGGACCTGCACTTGTATGAGCTGAGCTGTTGGAGCTGCCAGCCCCTGCCTGTGGTGCCGAGGGCTGAGCTGGGATAACACAACCCCAGTCTGGCTCATTCCTGGGTTGAGCAATGCAGGAGAGGGATGTTTTATTGGGCTGATTCAGCAAGCACCTTTTGTGTTGTCAGCACGTGTTTTCTCTTTTTAAAAACCCATGGATAAAGCCCCTGAGCTCTCTGGGACACCCAGCTTGGAATGCTGGAGTGTTTCTGCTCTGTCTTCTGGTCTCGAGGGAGCTGAGTTGTCCACTTGGTGTTTTGGATGGATTCTGAGCCCTGGGTATGTTAAAGAACAAAGTAAATATGTACTCTGCTAAGGAAGGGAAGGACAAACATCCCTCCTAGGAGGGGACTTGGGATTTGGATGGATTGCAAGTGCAGCAGGATTAATCTGGGCTAAAGTAAAAGGGCAAACACACCCTGAGCCGGGCTGAGATGAGGCTGCCCTGTCTGCCACCCTCTTCTCTTGGCTTCACCCCCCTGCTCTGCCTGCATCCTCCACGTGGGTCCTGCTCCCTCTCTGAAATGTCACCCCCTCCCCATCCCTCTTCCCACCTCCTCCCTGCTGTAGGAAGCTTTTCCTTCCTTCCTTCCTGGAGGAAAAGGGATTGCAGAGCTCCTTGGCTCTGCCTTTGCCCAGGGAGTGCTTTGTGATGTCAAGTGCTCAGGAGCTGCTAAAACAAAGCTCTGCAACAAGAGCCTCCTGCCTGGGCTTCTGTCAGACCCACGCTGCAGCCCCAGCCATTGTTCTGGGAGCAGGATCCTTCTCTTGATTTCATTATTGCAGCAGCATTTGCATTTCACTGCTCAGGCTGGTGTTATGAACGCTCCAGTGTTTTCCTGGCTTGGAGGGGAGTCATGAAACCAGGCTGTTTTACTTCTGCAAGGCTTTTAGTCCCTACCAGATTTCCCCTGAAGACAAAACCTTCCTCTGCTTGGTGACCAGTGCTGCTGGGGAAAATTTGCATCCGGATATAAACACCAGCTTTTATTGTTCTGCCCACATCCCATCCTCATTTCTGTCTGTGCAGTTGTTTGAACCAGCATTTTCCTGGATCATTTGCATGGTGGGTGCCTGGATTCTCAGAGTGGCTCTCTTGGGGGTGCCTGTCTAGTCAGGAACCTGCTGTAGCTTCCTTGTTCCTCACAGCCCAGCATGGAAAGAGAATATTCCAAGTGAGCAGGTCCAGATGTGCCCAAGCTCCTGGGTGGCAGCAGCTCTTTGACTCTTGAATAATTCACAGGCTCAGCCTGAGAAGGGCTTTTCCTAAATCACCCTGGCTGTTCTTTCCTTGAATTAACAAGGGAAATGTGTGAGGAGCTCTGTCCCTCCTGGTCCCCCTGAGCTGTGTCAGGTCCCCGTGGCTCCTCTGCCAGGCTCTGGCTTTGTGCTCCAGCAGCCAGGAGGGGCCATGAAATATTTATGGAGCAAAAGACCTTTCTGTGCAAGGGGAAGTGGCTCATCCTCCAGCAGCTGCTCAGAAATCCACAGCGCTGAAAGGATTTCAACCAGAGAGTTCCTCGAGTTCCTCTGGGTTTTATACCTGGTTGGTGTCAAGAATGAGAGGAGGAAAACCCCAGTTCTTGTGTGGGATGGAGCAAAGCCCACTGTGAGCAAGGGTTGGGAGAACCCCAGTGAGTTCCCAGGAATCCAGCATCCAGCATGAACTTTTTTGGCATTTAAATGCTATGCAGAGAGGCTGTGCCCTGCCAGCAGCTCCTATCTCGTTCCATCCCCCTCCATCTCCTTTTCTTTGCTCGTGGCAGAGGCCAAGAAGTCTTGTGCTGGTTGAAAACAGCCCAGGGAAGCTGCAGAACTGCCCTGGTGGGAGCTTTCAGGATTTTGTTTTATTTTTATTACAAGCCCCGTGGCATTTCATGTTCTTTTGCATAAATCCTGGCTGCTGGAAATGGGGGCACCAAATGAAAGCTGAGATTCTCATGCTTTCTTTTAAAGAGTTTGGTTTAAGTCCTTGTGGCTGGGACACATTTTAAACTCTCTTTTCCTGCACTGTGATGCAGGACTTGGAAACACAGAAGCAAATCCCCCTCACCCAATATAACACAGCTTTCAAAATGGACTTTTTAAAAGTTCTTTGTGGCTTAGGAATGGGGCTGAAATGGGGTTTGCTTGCTTTGAACAGAATTTTCACTGATAATTGTTACAACATGGGAAAGGAAAACAACAGCTCTTGTGTTTTGTGTCCCTCTCCAGGGCTGCGTGTTTGGGAGTCTTTTTTCCCCCTTCCAAAACAACAACAATAAAACAGCCTGAGACCTCAGAGGAAGGGAGGAACTTTTGATCTGCTGCTGCTGAATCCCTCTGCTGTTTCCGAGTGTCTCCCCCCGCAGCCAGAGCAGTGATAAGATGAGAGGGGAGGAGAGTTTTGTTTGCTGTGAAGAACCTGACCTTTCCTGCAGGAAACCTCTGCTCCCAGGGCATGCTGGCTGTGCCCAGGCAGCCCAGCAGGATGGCAGGAAACCCTGTCGAGATGCTCCAGCACTGCAGCAATCTCTAGAAATTCATTAAAATATCATTTTGGGCCCCAGGTGTTGAAGCACCGTGCTGGTGGTGGTGGGACAACTTTTCTAGGGAAGCCCTTGGGAATTGTCTCCCCCTCCCTCTTCTCCCTGCCCCACGGTTTCCATGGAAAAAGGGTTTTTGAATCACCAGCCATTTCCTGGAGATCAAAGAGGGGTTGCTGCAGCGTGCAGGTAACCCTGCCTGCCTGGGCCATTTGGGGAATGGCTCATTTAATCAGCTTAGGGCTTCTCCTGTGTGGCTACAGACTCCTGCAGCTGGCACAGAGACTCCAGCTCTGTGCTGCTCTTTGTACTCACCTTAAAAAAGCCCTTTGCATTTTCTGTGGGCAGGCCCTGGCCTGTTCAGCTAGGGACTTTTGGGATTGCTCCCCCTTTGATATGGATGTTGACTGGAGATTTGGGCATTCCTGAAAATCCTGTAGCATAAAGAAATGTTCATTATCCCATGCACTCGACTGCTGGGCTATGTAAAGCATCTGCAGCCTTCGCTTCTCTGAGGTTGGCAATACCTTTTCTTTAAAACAAACAGAAAAGGGAGCTGGTAGCAGGATCAGATTCCCCACAGCTTTCCTTAGCGAAGGGAGGTTATCACAACTTGCAGGGATGTCCTGGCTGGGTGCCTCTGGGGATCTGTTTGTGTGAGTGCTGGACCAGAGCAGGCTCTCCGGGCTGCTCAGTCCCCAAGGAATCCCTTGGCTCCCTGTGTCCCTTTAAAACTCCACTTGCCAGCAGAGCTGCAGCCCTTCCTACTTGGCCTCCTGCTCCTGGAGCTTTGTACCGAACTTCCCCCAGAAGTTCTTGAACTTTGTTGTTTGTGTGAACGCAGCCGAGGGAAAACCCAGGAAAACAAAGAGATCCCAAACTCTGCTAAACAGCTCACCAGCGTCCTAGAGGAGCAACAAGCCTTCCCCTTCCTCCTTGCCCCAGCTGCAGGAACATAAATCCCAATTCCTCCGGGATCTGGCAGTCCCCTGGGACACGCAGAGCTCGGGAGCTGCTGCAGGATCAGCCCCGCTGGGAAAAGCAGTGTGGGGGTGGGGTTTGCTGGACCGGTTTCCAAATTCCTACCAGTCCAGAATTTGGGCAGAACTGCAAAAAAACACCCCCAGGAACTTCAGCAGGGTGGGTAGGGGAGGAGCAGGTGTGGGCAGATATCAGGACAGGGCATCGCTTGGCCCTGGGAGCTGGGAATGCAGCAGGGACAGCACAGTGTCCCCTCCCTGTCCTGAGGGGCAGCTCCTCAGCTTGGCCAGAGCTGCAAAGTGGAAAAAGTGATGCAGCCCAGTGGCTTTCTGGCACGTTCCTGCAATTCCGGGGTCAGCAGCTTGCTGTTCAGAGTTGCATGATTGAAGTGGGTGTCACTTCTGCTCCAGCTTTGGGGCAGTGCCTCTGCCAGCTGGGATGCTGTGGGTCAGATCTCTGGGTGACATCCTCCTTCCCTTCTCTCTGCCTGGCCATTCCCAAAGTCCTGGAGGTCCAAATCTTCTGCTGGCAATCTGGGCAGC